ATTCTTGTGAACTGACGGTTTCGACGATTCTGGAGTCATCCTTGACCGATTTCCAGGCATGGTATTCCTTGGCCAAATCGTCGATGGTGGTCTTGTCGTCCTCGTCCAGCTTGCGCAGGAAGCGGACGCGGTAGTCGGCGAGCTCTGGAGCTTGGAAGGCAAAAACCAGAGCCAGGCATTCCAGAGTCTCTTGCCTGATTTCCTTGAAATTGGCTTCCATAGCGCGGGCCTTCAGCGAATTCACGAAGTTATCGATGTCTTCGTTCGGCGAGAAGTTCATGCGAAAACATTCGAAGCGGCGGCGGAAGAGGCTCTTCTTGGTGCCGAACAGCGTCTTCAGAGCATCCAGCGTTTCCGTCCAATTAAGCTCTCCGGGCTCCTTGGGAAGAATATGGCGCACGAAGCGTGTGTGGCTTGCAGCGTCAAGTGCAGAGATGAGGAGACGTGTCCTCATCTTCTCTTCCATTCCCTGGCAGTCGACCTCGAAAATGTCCTTGTGCCTGCTGAACCACATGCTGAAGCAGTCGTCTTGATCGGCGTCGTACGAGAACTTGTCGATCCTCCTTGTCATTCGGTCGAAGATAGATTCTTGCGGCGTGGTTGTGGGCGATGACATCTTCTGAAGCAGGTCGATGAGGAGCTTCTGCTGGGTGGCCATCATCTGCACGAGATCCTTGAGTGGCGCTTCTTCTGACATCATTGTGGCGGCGGTGTGGTCCTCGAAGTCCTTGTCCTGATCGCCAGTTGTTGTGTCCTTGACAATAAGGCAGCAGTAGAATATGGAAGACTGTAAATAGTATATCAACATAGAAAATAAACCGTTTATATACTCCTCTGCCTGGTCAAAAGATCAAGTCAAACCAGGCAGACCTAGTACAACACAAGATCAAATACCTACATGTAATAGACCACGGTGCTCGGCCCCACAATTGCAAAACAAAGATCAATATTTTATTTATTTATTTGTGCGCACAATGACGCGCCAGATCAGTACCACGGTCCGTGCAAAAGACTAATAACAGAACTCAGTGATTCTAGAAATCAAACAGGAGAATTAGAATGAAAAACACATTCAGGCCCAAAACAGAAGAACAAGTGTTAAACACAGTTCAAAAACAATGAAAGTAAAACAAGAAAAAGAAAAAATACACGCACGAAGAAGTAAAACACTAGAAGGAACTGCCGTGATCAACAACATTCAAGCCTTGGAAATCTTCGTAAGAGGATGCAGTGGAAGCAGCGGAGACCTATAAGGATGAAACTCAGGCAGAAGGACGGTTACCAGCGCACACCACCCACTAGATACTGTAACTCCTCAGGAATGAAAGCTGGCATGTGGGCAATGTGAAGGCTAGACAGGGAAGGACGCAACATGAACCAGACCGCTCCGAGCGTCTCGCGCATCTCCAAGCCAAGCTCACTCCTGCAGTTAGTACCTTTGACCCATCGTTCTCTAGGACACCACACTCTTCATCGCCTTTCAAAAGTGGCTTGTTTTCTCGTTTTGCTTCCCCACGCGACAACATCTTCAAACCGCGGCAAATGACGAAGAAACTGTTTTTCCGCATCCCCAGATCGGCAGTTTGTTGTGCTTTTCACGAAGCGTTTCTTCTAACTGCCTTGATAATCAAGCCTCAGACAAGGCAAGCCGCAAACTCTTTCATCAAATACTTTCTTTCATAAGTGCTTTTTGCTGGGAACCTCATTCAAAAGAAGAACTGTTTCAGAAATTTCAACATTCCGACCAGTTACGTCCTCACTCCCCACCAAACTCAAAATGCCCTCTCGGATTACGATAGCTCTATACATTGGTCGGCCCCGCCCCTTGGCACTGTCCACTACATAAACTGGTAATCATGATATTAATTCACCATTAGTACACTGCGTCCCAAAAGTATAGTTCCACCCATAAATCTCACAATATCCCGCCCTACACGACGTTTTCAAAAAGCCTCTAGATAGAAAATGTGGTAATTACCAGTGCCAATTTGCATGCCAACACCGAGAACTAACTTTCCAGAGCAACTTCAATTTTCTTTATTTTTTGAAAATTTCTCACTTTGACAATGTCCCAAAAGTATAGTTCCACTAAACAAATCGATTCATAAAACAACAAGTGTACAACAAAATGAATGAATTGTTAATTCTATAATCTATTGCAGCTCCATTCCTTCGAATAAGTTGGAAAATGCGGTTGTTCATGCTCGAATAGAGGTTTTAAATCAGTTTTCGGGACATACTGCCATGTGAAATCGTGCATTGTTCGCATAGATCTTGCGTACCATGAAGCCCCACACATTCTCGATTGGGTTTAAGTCAGGGCTATTCGCTGGCCAGGGCAAAAGAGCGATTTGATGACGACTGAACCACGCTCGAGTGTTTCGGCTGACATGAATTGGTGCATTGTCTTGCATGAAAACAGGACTTTCTTGCTGATTTCTACACCAGAAAGGAAGGAGACGTCGTCGCATGACACAGATAGACGGGAGAAATCATTTTTTTTCGAGCACAGTTTCAGACGTTTCCATTGATGCGATGGCACCCCAGACCATGAGACACATCCACTGAAGTTCCGCCCGGAAAAATGAAACTTGTCTTCCCTCAGGTCGTGCCAGCGGAATCGGTTTTCGTCTGAGCCGTCGCAGTTGAATTTTTCCTCATCAGAAAACACGAAAAAACTTTGAAAAAGCAACACAGACAAGCAGTAGGGCACCGCAGCCAAAAGCTACCCTCACTCCAATCGGTTCGGCAACATCTTCGAGCGAAGCCAATTAGGTTTTCGCGATGGTTTTTTGTTAGAAACAGTGCCCAACTCATATTCCTCCTGTGGGTGAACTCAGGAGTTTTTCAAGAGACGCCTAACAGTATCCTTCGAGACATTAACCTCGAAGATTGACTTTATTTTCGGGCACGACGTTGTGGAATTTGATGCTTCTCTCAAAGTACGGCGCTTTTCCCGATCAGAGAGCAAAGGAGGACGCCCAGAGCTCTTCTTGATTCCATATCGTGCGGGTTCCCTGACAAAGTTATTGATAACATGATGACTGCGGCCCAACTCCCTTGCGATTTGACGGTTCGACAGTCCTTGAGCCTTCTTTGCGATAATCTGCCCTTTTTCGAAGTCCGACAAAGAATGTCCTCTCGCCATAACCTGGAAAAGGTGAAAAGTAATGATGATACCCGAAAAAAATGAGACGGGGTGGGAAAATATGCGGTGGAACTATACTTTTGGGACATTGTCAAAGTGAGAAATTTTCAAAAAATGAAGAAAATTGAAGTTGCTCTGGAAAGTTAGTTCTCGATGTTGGCATGCAAATTGGCACTGGTAATTACCACATTTTCTATCTAGAGGCTTTTTTGAAAACGTCGTGTAGGGCGGGATATTGTGAGATTTATGGGTGGAACTATACTTTTGGGACGCAGTGTACTCATCGTGCGTGCTATCAACTGTCGTCTGTTACTGGTATCCTGATTTGTTGCTATGGGTCCCTTCACTCGGTCTCGAGCCACGTCGGCGGATTCTAGAGCGGTTGCCCCGAAATCTCGAACTGCTATTGAGCCTTCTGCGTCGCAGAATCTAGCAGGTATTCTGGCTTACCTGGACGATGGCGCCAACGTGCACGGCAGGGACGCCAAGTCTCTACGCGACGCGACGGTACTAGCTGATGCTGGAGGCAAGGGATGACTCTTTGCAGGAAACTTCCAAGCTCAAGCATGGGATCGATGAAGTAACACCAACTTATTGGATGACTTGAATCAGTCGTTCGCAGCAGTCGGCGAGCGCATTGATGCTACCTTTCCTTGCCTTCCTTTGGTCGCTTCGATTAGCGCGGATGGGACGATACCCCGAATTGTTCCTTCCTCTGGTTCAGGAGAAGTTCCTATGCAGGTTTCTGGCTTACACGCCTCGAAAACGTCTGCGTATGAGGTACGACCTCTGGCAGCCCCGAAAGCCTGCGTCAATCATGTCCAGGGTGTCCAACACCGGTAATATCGCGCGGACAAATGATCGGCTCTCCTCTTGTCAGCAACAAACAGGTGAGTCGTCTTCTCTACTTTCGCTAAACGTGTACACTATTTAGTTAGAGCGGCTACAGCTGCTCAGGACCTAGCCACCCAGAAGGAGCGCATGTTGGAAGAATTTCTCGCACGACTTCGTCCCGCTGTTCCCTATTACTTTGAGCTGGCAATGGCTCCCTTTTCATCGTTTTGGGTTGGAGAGTCCCTCTTCCAGCAATACGCGCATGTTTTGCTTCGCGGCAGACTGTGTTGTTTACGCGCTTCGAAGGATGCGGACGATCGCGGTTTCGGACGTGTTGCCGTTGGTGCGTTTTTCGCTGCGCCGCGTTTGTAGTCCGCTGTATGAGCATGCTCCGTACTTTTGACGCAAATCGATGTATGGTGCTTTTCGTGACATTTGCGGCAATTGCCACTTGTGCACGCTGCTACTCGATGTGCTTTTGATCCGCAGTTAAGGCATCTGTTGGATTCTAGAAGAAATGCCTTGCGGGTCGATGACGTAGGAAGTCTAGGACATGTGTACCACTTATGTCCTTTCAATGTACATGAATTCCGCATCACGACCCGCGATCGATACTGCGTATTTGTTTGCGATCGTGATGCGTCCTTTTCCTGCTCCGTCGGCAGCATATTTTGTAATCTCTCCTCCTCCAGAAGGATGTCATCTATGGTGCTGAGCCATAGTTCTAACGTCCATTCGGAGCCTTGATCTGAACCAGTGAGTCCTGATTCCTGCTGAGGGAACGGTGCTTCGTGTCGAAGGCAGCGTCTCGTAGCCGACTTCTGAATTCTCGTGTGGAATTTTTGAAGAAAGGTGTTCACGGCCAAGTAGTTGTCCAAATGTTCACCGTGATCCTGGAGCTGCGCTGCTATTGCTGATAACTTCTCGAATAGTTGGCGCTGGTCCTCTGTCCGTGATCCGCGCGCTGTGCAAGAGTTTAGATTCCTGTGCAATTCGAGAACTATTCCTTCCTTATGCCCATAACGTTTAACCAAGTGTTCCAGGGCTTTCTGGTAGTTTGCAGCCGTGACTTGGAATCTACATACCGATTGCCTAGCTTCTCCACTGAGGGACGTTAGCAAATAGTTGAACTTCTGCAAATCGGTCAGATCCTGCTCATGTACGTTCGCTAAAAACAGAGCCCAGTAGTTGTCCCACTCCCACCGCTTTCCACTGAATTTGGGGATGGGTATTTCCGGGAGTTTACTGAGGGACAGGGAGCTCGTAGGTACGGCTTGAGACGTCAAATGTTGTTCGCCACTCATTGAATCCATGCAGTCCTCCAGTATGCGCCACAATTTGCCCTTATATGTGTCCAGCTTCATTATTGCCTCGTGCGCTGATTCCACATACTTGTCGAACTGTGAGTCATCTTCGGCTGAGCGATCTTCAAGGGCTTCCACAGCTTCCGCAAGTTTACGCAGTGATGATTCCAGAGCACCAGTGTTTTCGTCGCACAGTTTTAGTGCAGAGCGGACATCCTTGGCTCGTATCCGTTTCTCGGTCTCCGTAGGTGGTATGAGAAGGTCCTCGTTGGTATCAAGCCATTCCCCTATTGCCTTGATTCGTTTAGTTACCAGAGACTTACTGGTTCGGACTAATGAGGTCATACTACTTCTCAACTGACTCAGTATCGTAAGCCTGATATCAAAGGTGCTCTGCAGAAAAATCGGCAAGAAAACGTGCTCGTGCTCAGCCAATCTCCACGATAAAGCAGATAAAAGAATAGGAGGACGAATAGAATAGTTATGAATGCCGTACCTGTCGTCCGGGCAGTGATCCTTTGATGCACCAATAAGGTTTCGGAGCGTAGCAAGGAAGCCACGGCTCAAATCACAAGATATGCAGAAGAGTGGAAACGGCTAACAGCACAAATCGAAGAGCAGACGAAGGAACTGCAGGATTGGAAGGAGGAAAGAAAAGAACACTCGCGGTCGAGCAGTCCAAGGACGGGTTGCAAGAGGAGACATGGAGGTTTCGAAATCCCGCCCTCGGAATTACAGAGGTATGAAAGAATACTGGATCAGAGCGAGAAAGAGCTGACGGAAATCGACGATTTTCTCAGTCGAAATGTGGTCAAAGATAGACGTTTCGGCAGCAGGAACATGAAGGAAGGTGAGGGAGGAATGACCTGCGTGTATTGTAAGGTAAGAGGAAATCACTACTCCGACGCGTGTGCGGAGGTGCGCTCTGTGTCCAGGAGGATCGAGTTGTTGAAATCGGAAAACAGATGTATGGTATGCCTGGAATTCCATTTTGCACCAAAGTGCCCTAGGAATACACCATGCTTCTACTGCAAATCAGGTAATTATCGCGACGACTCGATCATCATTGCAGTATTTGCAGGAGGCCTGAAGAGTTCGCCGATAAAATGAGACGCAGAGAAGAAATCAAGGTTTTGATCGATATATGTGAAAGGGCACTGGAAAGCTCGAAGCCCTGTTCTTCAAGATGGTCCGGTTCGAGACGAGGAAGGCCAGAGCACGATCGTGAGCCTTCGCGGAGATCGCAAGCTGATAAGAGGACGGTTGATGAGGAGTGGTAGTAACTCGATTAACAACTGACCGATAACGACACATGGCGGCGCGGAGTATACTGAACTCTAGTTCAGTATTTCCTAAGGATATTCTCAGTATTTCTCACAGCCTTTCTCAAATGCCTTTACAAAAATGTAAACATTCGGAATGTTGATCGATGTTGTTACCTACGTAACGCTTTTCCCATTGTTATCTGATATCGAGCCTTCTTAAGCCGCATGTAATCGTCGCCTCAGTCACATTTTTCTCAACTTTTCTTTCTAGTTTTCTGATATGTTTTATTCTCGTTCGCTTCTTGTGCATATGCCTTAGAAACACGACCTTTCATATTTTTTGTAGGATTCGGCACGAGCACTATAACTTAGTAGTCTTAGGGAGCTGTCCTCAGCCTCAGCTGATCTTAAGGAGTAGGTTAGTTTGATATTCAGCTCATATTCTGAAATGTCTTTCTGTCACTGTCTCTTACTTGCAGAATTAGTGATAAATGTTTAATTACCCAAGTTTGAGGTCTTGTACGAGAAAGTCCCGCGTGGCACAGTATTGTTTTCTACTATACTCGTATACGACCCCATTTATGAACCAATGACAACACTATGAAACCTGAACATGTAAGGTATGAAGTCACCCCTGAGATACAAAAAATCTCCATCAAACTTGAACTCAATCTGAATAACGTCTCCACCTGTGATGCTTCCTATCTCGAGCCATTTCCGAAGGCGCTGTCGACCGAAACTAGAGATTTTGTCAATCTTCGAGAAAACTGCGGACTCAGTTGGAGTCGGCACATAAACTAGCTGTATATGTACTCACTGGGATAGGGGAATAATAATTACCCAATCGGCCGATATCGATTTTCCATACATCGTCGTAGTTATAGGAGGCAAGACCGATGATAGGAACACGAGGCAGATTTTTAGATTTTTCTCGAAAAAAGTAATATGAGGAAAAAATCATGACTTCACTCAGCAATACTAAATATTTCGATTTCCAGACCAATTCATTGTTACCGCGGATAATTTGTTAGCACGGTATAACAGTCAAAATTATCCCTGGGGTATTCAAGATAAGGCTACCCTTATACATGACCAGTTTTGTGAAATGACGAAACTGCACCTATAAACCTTGTATAAAGAGCACCTCCATCGAGAAACTGACAGATAGAACAAAAAAATAAAGGAAACATGTTGAAAGAATTCACTCACCATGCAACAAACATGAAAAACGCGATGCTTCTCAGAAAGATATGTGATAATGTTCGCATCGCAGATTGTTACAGTACTTCCCTCTTTGTTGTAGGGATCATGGCTGTATTGTGCAAGTTCCATAATATTCAATGACCTGCGCGAGATTACACTTAACAAACATATTAAACATACCTACGAACAATGCCCACGCCTGCGTTCATTGATGTGTCGTCAGTTATTAGCCCGTCCCCTCCACACGCAGGTGGGCGGTGCCAATGGAATAGGGTTGGGCCAATGAGAGGAACGGCGGCGTCCTCGGTCTCCTCACTCGCTTTCGCGCCGTGGCACTAGTGCAATTGCTGCCCTTGCGGACCAGGCTACCAGCTCGCGAACTTAGAGGGAGCCCTCAAGTAAGCAGACACTGCCCTTAAGTCAAGGTCTTGCGTAAATGCATGCTTCTCTATCCTGGAATGAGCGAGGCTTAGCCGCTGTCAGGGTGGCTTTGTCCACGAGACTCGACCGATGCGCTCGCCCATATTCCAACACAGTTGTTCTCGCATAATACCACAGTTGAACGAGACTCGCTTGCTGACAGTTCATATCTACCGCCCCAACGTCCAGCGCTATGATACACCCGCTTCGCTGTGTAAGATCATCACATCCTCTGTCACGTACTCTGTCAGTTTCTTTGGGGCCCGTTATCAGAACCATACAGAGACCCACGCGCTTGTGTCACTTGAAGCATGCAAGCTTATGGCCCAACATCATAAATGTGAGTACGGCGGCATGTCGCGGTCTGATAGCAGTTGGTCCACGTCCGATTCTCTCGTTGTTGACTGGCCATTGGCCCCTTTCGGATATTAAACTGAGCATACTGTATCCGTCTCCAACTGTATCTTGGTGCAGACTGTGGTTCACATGTGCTATGGAGCTTCCTATCCAGATTCACCAGCGGGAAACCTCGACCCAGTGCGAATACGGCTCCGGGAATTGCCTCTTGAAGGATGGATCGATGCTCATCTGGTCACCGAATAAGCAGGAAACTTGCCGGTTTGAACCCTTGATGAAAATGTGTAACCCAGCTGCAGAACGTTTGGATTAGCAACTTGAAAGAGTTCGCCCTTTCCTGGCGTAACTCTAGCGACCGCATTTTAGACTGCGGTTCCCAACTGATCCTTTCCGACCAAGGTTACGCGCTCGCGCCCAGTAACACGGATTCCTCGTTCCTCGTCGCCTCCAACCAGCTGGCTGCGCAATTACAGCTGTGGAAGCATCCGTCGGTTCAACGGTGACGAGCACCGAGATCAGCTGGACGACGAGGCCTGCGCCGATTCCAAGAAAAG